TTTCCTCTCTCTCTCTCTCTCTCTCTCTCTCTCTCTCTCTCTCTCTCTCTCTCTCTCTCTCTCTTGTTTTCTTTCCCCCCTTCAATAAATCCCATTCTGTTTGTTCTGTCAGTGTCTAGTGATCATTTTACGTGAGTTTTGAGCTTGGCAGTGGAAGAATTCCTCAACAAGGGGTTTACACACAAACAACAATTCTCACTTGGAAGGAACAGGAGCTTGAAACCTCGCCACGGGGGGGCGAAATAAATTTAAGTTGTACGGACACTATCTCCTGTAGATCTCAGAAAGGATTCTGTTTAATAGATAAAAGAAGACATTCCAGGGTGAGGATGGAAACAGTCATCTTTCAAAACCTGTTGAGTGAAGCAGGGGCCGCCCCTCAGACTTTAAGACAGGGTCGGTGAAATGAAAATGAAACGTCTTGTTATAAATTTGAAAACACAGAACAGATTTTAAGATGATTAAAATGATTTTTAAAGGCATTTGGCACATGTATATAACACATTATAACAAATGACAAATGACTGCACTAAAAAAAAAAAAAAGAATTGACTACAGCAATTTATATTTCAATTTGTTACAGTTCTGATAAATTATACTGTGTATAAAGAAATCAATATCTATGTTAAAATTTAATTTTAAAAAAGGATTTATACGTTTTCTTATAAATCTAATAAATACACTAAGAAAAGAGTCATATAGACTGCAGCACACATTTTGTACTTTGTTGATTTTCTTGTCAAATGCAATGTTGCATAAAGCAATCAACATTCAACTCAAATTTGAAGAAAGGGGTCACATTGTTTATTACACGTACATAGATTATTGTGTAAATTCACTGAACTAAGATTATTAGTTGAGCTACACATTTTGCTATCTGTTGCGTTTCTGGTAAAATGTATTACTGTACAAAACAATAATATTCACTTTCAAATAAGGGTCGTGGGTCTTTGTTTTTGTTTTGTTTGTTTGTTTGTTTTTTAGGAAGGGAAATCATAGTTAATTTTCAAAAGAGGATCCTGAGGAATTTTCGGGAAGGGAATAAAAGTGGTTTTGTTTGCAGCGTTAGTACTAGACTCTATTTGGTCGCTTTAAAGGACAAGCGGGCTAACCCAGATTTCGTGGGTTTCCTGAAATCTTGACCTACACCAAAAATAGGCATTGCCCTACCTGCAGGAGAAGTTGGGTTTCATTGGTGTGTATATTTGATTGGTTATAGAGAAAACTCTCCTTGTCTTTTAGAGAAACAGAACAAGGGACAAAAAATTTACCTTCGATTTTCTCAAAACAGCTTTTTTCGGGATAGCCCCCTTCTGCTTAAAAGCGAATATTTCTACTCCTGCAGGAGACAGGCACATTCGAACACAAGCACACACCAACACAACAACTACTTTTATCGAGTTTAATTATTCTTGCATACATGATGTGAACACACACGCACACACACGCACATGTACTCAAACACAAACGCGGGCACGGGAGCACACACACACACACACACATACACACATACACACACACA